TTGGAGGAATGTTGGTATGACCCACCAATCCCTGCCAACAACCCCACATCCTGCGCCGGCGACTGTGCGTGGATAACATCCATGTCAACAGGTGAGAGTGACACCATTCCGAGCGAATCATAGGCGGACATTGCAGGTTCGAATCCTGATGAGTACAGCCTTCTTAGTGAAAGTGTTTCGTCGTCATCGTAGTAGTCCCAGTTTTTTTTTTTTCCATTGGCGCTACGGCCCTCATTTGGGCCTAGGCCTACCTCCATGAAACTCTCCGTTTCACTTCGGTTTTACTAGATCTTGGACATACGGTAGGACTCCTTGGGCGGGTGATCAGCTGGTCACAAGGCCTCTACCTGTACACAAACACAGAAAAACGCACACAAACTAAACATCCATGCCCTGAGTGGGATTCGAACCTACGATCCCGGCTTCCGAGCGAGCGAAGACAGTGTATGCCTTAGAACGCTCAGCTACCGTGACCGGCCAGTAGTCCCAGTTTAGTTTCCCCAATATTAACGTGTCACTTGCAGCTTTATCTGTGCAATATCTGTCTGTCTGTCTGTCTATCTATCTATCTATCTTGTATCTAACCTGTCTAATCTAATTCATCTGTTTAGTCTATCTAATATTTCTTTTTAGTTCATCGGTAATTCTGTCTTCCTGAAAGCTCTTCCTTTCAGGGATTTCTTATAAATTGCTTCGTGCTTTATTTTGTTATCTTTTCGTTCTCTTACTCGTTTCTTTTCCGCCATTTCTGTCTAAGATGCAGACCAACGTGGAGTGTTTAGGAGGCACTGCGCATGTACACTGTTGCAATGAAAGGGTACCGGTGGTTAAATCAGTTCCAAGGAGGCTATTTACGAGGCACAGCGTTCGAATCTCGGCCGAGTACATTGATTGTTTTTCGTGGCTTCCCCCGCACACCTCACACAAATATAGGAACAGAAATTGGTTAAAGTTATCCCTGCGCTTAATTAATTAAGCACTACTCCCCGGAGACGTATGGGGGAGTGGAGGTATAACGCTATAATTCTTAATCTCGTCACTACATGGAGATGAGTGGTCAGCTTCACGTCCCGTCCGCTTTAACCCCTGAGGAGACAGCTCCCCTGATTTCAGAATAATAGTATCTCGGAAAATAACACGATTCCACCGTTTCAGCTCGATCTCTACTAATGATTCATTATCATCTTTCTATTTCATTCGGTGTGAAATATTTACAGTCGAAATGGCGTTATTAAATGCCAAAATGTATAAATTCAGCCCCACCTGCACTGTTATCATACGAAAATATGGACAATCGTTCACCTCAACCACCGAGCTAGGTCCACACCCTCCCGTGAATATAACGGGATGTTGTTTGTGTGAGATTTGCGGTTGTTATGAAGAGTACTACCTTCTGGGACGTGACGCCGTGTAGCCTGTAAAAGTTTAGCAACGTTTCGTAAGAACACATTGCCTCCATCTTCACACTCGAAAAATTAAGTCTAGCGGCGAGAAAGCGGATGTTGGTTAGTTTACGTGATGCCCGCAAGGCGCGTGCCAATCGTACCTGCCTGGTCTCGCTTCATCAATTGAACGGTAATTGTCTCAATGGCATTCTTCAAGAGATTTCGTGATGATTAATACTTACGCCATGAATTTTCATGCCATAATCGGAGAATTTATATACTGCTGGGATAGCAATTTTGTTCATTCAGTTGCTTAGTAATCGTGTATACTGGGAGGACCACCATTGGTATTCTGAGCCAAGATATTACCAGTTGGCAGGGTGTGAAATACTTTAATATACATCGAATTGTTTCAAGAGAACACATACATGCAAAGAAAGTAACAAGCAGGTATTGTTTCATATGCAGGCAATTGAAGGCTACATTAGAATTGCGGTTCTCACGGCAATGGCTGTAAAACTTTACTGTCTTCTGAGATATGATGCTGTATAGTCTGGTAAATACTTTCCAACCTTCCGAAAGAAGCTACTTGCTCCGTTTCCAACAATCAAAATGTAAACAGTAGGTTTCTTTTTCAATTCGCATAGTCGGGGTGGAGTCTGACTGGGTCCACTCGGCACTGCGGCCACTGATTGGCCTATTGTACCTGCTCCGGGTGATTATGATGATGGTGAACTTGGTGGAATGAAGGTTGGCAGGGGAAACCGAAGTACGCGGAGAAAACCCGCCCCAGCACCACTTTGTCCACCACAAATCCCACTTGACCAGAACCGGGCTCGAAACCTAAGCCGCCGTGGTGGGAAGCCTGTGAATAACCGCTTAAGCTATGGCGGGGCCTAAGCAGTAGGTTCCTCAGAAAGGTTAGTAATTATACGTTTCTACCTTGAAGACAGAGACAGAAAGTTCTTCCGAAACTCTGGGAAATATTGACGATCTCCCTCTTCTGTCCTGAAAATGGAGGGGGGGCAGTTCTTCCAAAGCATTAATAAATATCTAGGGCATATCTGTTGTGCCCTGAATATGGAAGAAATATAACTACCTCCGTGGCCTGTAGTCCGCAAGCGAACTATACCGACCGAGCGACCGCCGCTTGTCGGCGAAGTTAGTGCCAACTTTTGCGGATAGAGATTGTCACGTGGTCAGCGCAACGGATCCTCACGGCCGTTAATCTCGGTTTTCTAGACAGAAACTTTGGTAACCATCCACCCTTTTCTTACCTCAAATCAGAGTCATCAGGTTTCTCCGAAAGACTGGTATCTGCCAGACTACACGGCGTGACATCCAAGGAGACGACCATCTTCAATGGAAGGCTACGTCTACAAGGCCTAGTTTTCCGCACGAAAGACGAAATGTCTTCGTCTGTTTCCTGAGCGCCGCTTACGAATATCTGAGACGTGATGCCATACCGCACGCCGTGATTGAAACAAACACAACACAAACGTGGAGTGTTCTGAAGAGATTTTCCTGCAAGAAGGGAAAGGAATGACAGTAGGCATCCAGGTCCTTGGGTCCTTGAGCATCTGATTTGCAAAGTAACATTGTAACGCTCGGCCGCGCCATAGCTCAAGCGGTTAGTAGCTGACTTCCCACTGCGGCGGCCCGGGTTCGATTCCTGGTCTGGCCAAGTGGGATTTGTGGTAGACAAAGTGGCGCTGGTGCGGGTTTTCCTCCGAGTACTTCGGTTTCCCATGCCAATCTCCATTCCGCCAAATTCCATCATCATAATGACCCGGGGCAGGCTACAATAGGCCAACCAGTGGCCGACGTGCCGAATTTAGCGAATTAAAAAAAAACTCTTTAACGCTCAGTGGTTACTATATGTACTATCTGCTTTAACATACTAAAACTCTACATTCTGCCCACAGAGTGTATTTGTGTGTTCCGTACAGTTCTCACAATAAACAGCCACTCTATCCCTAAACAGCATTAACCGGTCGGTCTTTGTAGTTAAGAAGTAATGTGTTTCCTGTGAGGTACGAACTGATTGTTTATATATAATATAGAAGAAATTCGGTCTTTAAATAGTTAATATTCTCCAGCGAAAGCCTTCTAGCCTCAATGTCAACTTGGTGGAAGAAAAATTCTTGTAATTCTCATTTAAAATTTAATTTTAACTCGTGTTCTGATGGAGCAGAGTCGTGTCGAGATTTTAATTTCAAATTATTACGCGTTCTTTGAGCGACGTGAACGAAATGAACAATGTAGGACTGGTCGGGTTTACCTGTTCGTCCGCATGTTTCAACTTGAGATCCAATCGATGAATTTTCATGAAATTTTGTAAGAGTATTATGCCATAGGCGGCTATCCCCAAATCGTACTCTTTAATTTCCTAAAATAAGTAGTTAATACCAGCATGACAGAGACATGAACTTCTGAGGTGGGAGAAATACTAGCGCCACTTGATGTAGGGTCCTGAAATTGTGTATGGTAACACATACTTGATATATAAGCAACTTCTGTTAAGGAATATTTTGTTTTTTAACTGCAAGACAACAAAATATCTGCGATGTAAAATCTGCGTTTCATTTTTGGTTTAAGAGGGATAACTGATGAACCATTGGAGATAGGCGTGTGAATTTTGGCATGGAAATATACCAGTCACACGCCTGCAAATTCTGTGTTAAATAGTGATTCTAAGTAAACAGTTAAAAATATGACGACCGTGCGGATCTTTTGTGCTGTATGTCACAAATTTAGAGGGAGCAGTATAAAATATGTACTATTCAAAGGGTTAATTCTAATTAGAGCCGGTGTCATCCGGTGTTCCAAGTTGCATGTTTATTTTTTATTCATAGTGAGTGCATGTGGGTTTGGTAATAGCTTACTGGAGAGGAGTTGAGGGATGGGAGATGCTACTTTATTTTCCATTTGGAGCTTTCGTATGAGACAAAAATATCAAGCTTACGAGATAAGAAGACTGAGCAAATTTGTGTTTTTCTCACATTGTTTTGTGAATAATAGTTTGTGAAATTGTAGAACAACCTTTAAGGATCTACAGGAGCCGCAGTAGCTCTTGAATAATTGGAATAATAAGAAGAAAAGTGTTAAGAACGCTTATTTCAACCAATGGATTTGTTTCATATTTTTTCATAGTGCCGGCAATTATAATTTTTTGGATACCCTCATTTCCGGCAATGTGACGTCATAGGGAGTTGGTCTAAATGAGAACTCCAGATAGAAAATTGTGGGCTCAAGGTGACGCCTGTGGGTAGCGCCTTCTGGATGTAGTTAAGAAAGTTCCCGACAACTAAAAAATCGAAATAAAATTGACACTAGTCACGTGTAGGAATGTTCTCGTTCCTCGCGGCATATATTAATTCCGGTCGATAGGAATATTGTTGAAAGAAGATTCCTGACGCAAGGAAAATGACCCTCAAAACAGTTTCTCACTCGCTTGAGTCTGTTTACAGAGCTTCCCGCAGCACGCGCCCTATATATGGCAGCAGCAGTGCTGTGTCTCAGCAACCCACACACCCCCTTTCCAGTAAGAACTATATTCGACTCGTCCGCCGCGCATGCGGTGTCGCCCACGATAGCTGTTCATTCTTCAGTGGTGTTCGAGATCTCGGTGTGAGAGCATTAATATTAGGTCACTAACAAATCTCAGGTATACACATCGATATAGTGCCGACTGTTCAAAACAATAATTGGAAAATGAGTGACACTAACCCCAGCACACAGAGTATAGCGGACTATTTAGCACAGCTACTAAAAGATAAGAAACAATTGGCAGCGTTCCCAAATGTATTCATACACGTAGAACGACTTCTTGACGAAGGTAAGGTGAATTTCTAAAACTAATAATATTACTCTAACAGTTCTTTCTGTGTTTTTAAAAACGCAGTCATTTCTTAGTGTGACTAATGTGCTACTGTGTACGAGATGCGATTGGTTACTGGCGATTGACAACAGTGCTTGATCATGGCTATATTTAGAAGCCTGTTAAGAAATGTCATAATAAGAATGGTAAATTGTACGTTTTAATCTGCTGTGATTTATAATAGTTGTGACCATGTTTTAGAAGGCGAAATTTAAGAATCGTTCGTTGGTAGTACCGTATTTGTGATTGTTGATTGCATATATGCGACAAGAAAGTAGTTATATAAATTTATAACGGAATACATTTTATGGGCAACAGGTATTGAAAGTTTGAGGTACCTGAAAATTTCAGGAGTTTTATTGATATACAGGAAGTTGACAACAATTTCTATAAGGTTTCCTGTATTTGGTTAGCTGGTTCTTTTTCTTATTTATAGGAATGTAATTTACAAATCGTTTGGAGAAAGTGATTACCGTTATTCATAGAAATGATCGTTTTGAAATATATCATATTAAATTTTTAATTGCCGTTTAATGTTGGTGAATGGTGGTAATTGACCGGTTGTAGTATCTGGGTTGTTTATTGTAATGATCCACGCTCGTGGACTGCACGTAGATCAGTCTAGGTTGTTTACAAAGTGGTGTGATAAATACCATTGTAATATCCCACCGTATAGTGGAATAAACGATTAACGCGTAGTTGCACAACGCTATTTTCGACAAGCGCTTTTAGTGCATCTCAGTTCAAACTTGGGATTACCATTTACAGGAGTTGGAATAGTGATTCAAACACACAGATTGCTAAACGTTTTTTGCCGCTCCCCTCCATTTTCTCTCTCACTCCCTCCTCGTAGGTTCGGTCAAATTACCCCTGCCCCCCCTTTGTAGTTTCTCTTCTAACTCCTCCACGCCCCCCAGGTCTGCATTCCAACAGCGGTTGCAGGTTCTAGCCGCCATCTTGAAGCCAAGTCGCGACAGGTTTCTTAGACCGCTTGAGACGAAGCAGACTTGGCTTTTCAACTTGGCATAGTCTGCGTGTGATGTTCATGGAACATTTCTGTTACTAACATTCCCAAAAACATGCCCCGTACCAAGCGAATGAAAGTAATGGTTTGTGATGTGAATTCGTGAAAGAACTGCAGGGGCCTGTTTTCCAGTCATAATAGAGAGAGAAAGTGGGAGGGAGGAAACCACAAGAGTTTTGAGTTTAAGACCTATCGAATGGAAACAATAAATGATTCGTGAAAATTTATCCAGGTACAGATTGTGGCCAGTTTTTGAACGAGTCGGGCTATTTGCATTTTTTTACACAATAGGTAATTACTCTGACACGTATATAGCGTATTTGTGATGAGCTGCGATACCTCGGTCGGTAAAATGACGAGTGTTTTGAACTGCGGGAGTTCGATTCCAGGCAGTGGAGGACTCTTTCTCTTCTCCGCCATGTCCATATAAACTCAAGCCAGTTCTGGAAAGCGACCTGGATGATTGTGATTGAAATTTACATTGACAGAATTGTATACATTTTCAATACATTTTATTTAAAACTTTAACGAGCCCCCAGAAGTGTGGGAACTGGAGGAGAGTGGACAGGCAGGTTGGTAGTTGCGGTACTGTACCGTACACTTCAAACAGTGTCGTGAAATAACCAACTATGAAGTAGAACAGAACTGCCAAACGCGGGGTTCGCGATGGCCAGTCGTTCCGTCCACAGTGGGTACTAGACAGTTGGAAAATATTGCCTTGTGTAGGCCCCATTTCGAGGTACAAACAGACTGCAGAGTTTTGAAAATAATTTTCAGGATAATAGTTTCTGTACCACTTGTGGGCCCCGTGATTAACTCAGTATAAATTATAGCAGTTAACAGTGAATTGATCTTCACGTGGGATACAAGTTTCTTCTGACTGTGCTGCGAAGGTTAAAAGTCTTGAAGGATGTAACACCGTGTACTTTGGTGGATAGAAAATAGTGTTTCGTAGAGACTGCCGCCTCCATCTTCATGCACAAGATCCTCTGGCCCGTTCCGATTTATAATTTGGGAATTGTGGATCTTTCACGCCGATCACGGTGGCCGCATGGTCTAAGGCAGGGGTCTCCAAACTTTTCGAAATGCGGGCCACATTAGGTAATTCAGCACTTTAAACGGGCCGGATAAAATGAGAAATTAATAACTCTAGGTATATGAGTTTCATTGAAAGCACAGAATTTCATAAACTAAATACAAAGTACGTGAGAATAAATTATCGTATATTAAAGACAACAGACAGTAGCAGCAAATGCTCATATTTTCATCACAAATTATAATAGAACAATTAATGTGAATGATGGAACTCTTTTTGCATTCTTAAAATCTGATTAAATTGAGGTTCAAATTTTGAAACGCTAATCACAAGTAGCGACTTTAAATGTTCATCGGATAAATTTGTCCTGTATTTCGACTTGATGTACTTCATCTGGGAAAAAGTTTGTTCACACAGATATGTCGCCCCCAAAATGGAGATAACTTTACAAGCAAATTTCTTTAAATTTGGAAATTGCCCAGAATTCAGAAATTTATAAAATTCGATCAAATTTCCTTCCTTGTACTTGTCTTTAATATGATAATTTTCCTGAAGTTCAATAATTTCCATTTGAATTTGACTTGGGACATCTGCAGAATCACAGTCAAACGGATTTTGAAACAATCTAATTTCCTGAGAATTGGAATCCAATTCAGCAAATCGCTTCCGAAATTGTTCTTTCAAACCTGAAATGACTAAATTTGCAAACGAGGAAGGAAATTCTGCTTCACTCTTTTTATGCAACTCTGCAGAGTATAGCATATGAACAAAGTTACAAATTTTCACTTGGCCTTCCAGAAGTATCAACTTTGCTCTGAATGCCTTGATAAGTGCAAATAAATCACATTTCTGCACAATTCTTTCGCGGGCCGGATGTGGCCCGCCGGCCGTAGTTTGGAGACCCTTGGTCTAAGGCATGAACTGTCTCTCGCTCGAATACTGGGATCGTGGGTTGGAATCCCATTAAGCATGGATGTTTGTGTGTGTTTTTATTCTGTTTTTTTTTGTGTGTGTTGTCCTGTGTGTTGGTAGCGGCCTTTCGGCGGGCTGATCACCCGTCCAAGGAGTCCTACCGACTCCGTAAAAAAGATTACGAAACTGAAGAGGAGGCCAGGGGCCAACAGAAGGGCTGTAGAGCCATTGATGAATGAATGACTGGATCTTTCACACATCAGGTAGAATTCTTTCGATGGGGGCATCGGCCCATCTGAACGCTGCACAGATGAACGCGGACACACTGATATACGTCCGTGCATAAGGGCGATGTTTTAGCCAGTAGCCCCAGTGTTTGGGCCATCACTGGAATCGTGTGTAATTAATTCAGCTTTAAGAGCCTAACTATATTTTAGTATTATACAGACGTTTTATTCATATATATTTCTATGGTTTATATAACAACGTTGTTAGTAGCCCAGATTAATGGTCTGTGAATTGGAAAGTACATAAAAGGAAGCCGCTGTGGCCCATTTCAAAGTATTATGCCAGATTCGCCTAGAGAAAGCGAGATAAACTACGAGAAAATTTAGGCTAATCGGTGCCCTGGCTGAGATTCGAAGCGGGTACCTCATGAACTCAAGTCAGAAGCTTTACGGCTGAAGTGAACATACCCACCCATACTTTGTCTCACCATCGTACCATGATTGTGTGACCTCCACTGGGACACCCACCTTTGCTGAACCAGATTTGTGGTTTTTCTTACATCGTCCAGAAAAATTCCGGAATGGGATCTTAGATCAGGCTACGACCATTTTCCTCCCTCACATTTCCAAATGATTGTTTACCATTATTCGACGCTATGTAGGCTGTGTTACTGACAGCATCGTTAAATAAACAACAAACACACCTACCGATGATGTGGCTGCTTGACCTACAAGGTCAAGTTATAAAATCCGCCCATACAGGTTTGACAAGTCTGAACTAAAGTGTTCAGAAAGAGAAGATCTCTCAGTCTTCTGGGATATAACGCTGTGTAGTCCGTTGAAAGTCACGTTTCGTAATAATAGCACCTCCCTGCGGAGGGCTGAAGAGTAAGCTATGAAGCAGGTAGCAGGAGTCCCTGAAGTTGGAACTCTTCACAACGACCGCCTTGAGAACCTCGAACCCTGCATAGTGTCCGAGTTTGCAGAGCTGCCATGACAGAAGGTGATGTACTTCACAGCGGATCGCAATGGCCATGACGTTCTCGAAGCTGACTGATGAAATATTATGAACGTAATTTTCAAAAGCAGTAAATTGCTGCACTTAGGGGCATTTCAAGTGGGCGGTGAAACTTCAAACAAAAATATGAGCACTTATCCGTAAGGAATGGCTCATGTCGGACCCGCCTGCCCCCCCTCCCAATCTCTTCTTGTGTTATTTGCCAATAAAACAGTTACAGTTATAATAATTAAGTATGTCTTGATAAATTTTAATGCTAATCCCTAAGACACTGATAACCTGTTTGTAAGGAAAAGTTACTTCTCTTGTCAAACCACTTAGCAGAATTTCAGAGTGAACTTATTTCGTGCCCTACAGTGTGATAATTTTGTTGCCAGCTTCACATGATTTTTCGTTTAATGTTCGGGTGAAAAGGGAGGGGGGTTGATGGAAGAAGGATTCTGTCACTATCTGACATGTTTCATTGTTTTTCCCCTCAGTCCACATCTATTCCTTGTCACTTTGTCAGATGCTTATATATATTTAAAACCTTCAAATTTGGCAGGATACAATTTGTTAGAAAAATAATGGGGTTTAAAATCTTAACAAGGAAGCGAGTTTATATATGCTGCTGTTCTTTTCTGTCATACGGACGACGTGTCTTGTTTTGAAACACGGGTTCTTAGCTTCGAAAGGCTTCATTGACACAATGGACGACGACAAGCGTTATCTGCAGTTTCTCTTTCGCCACAAATTAGCGGT